TTTCACTTCTGTCCATTTATTTGTAAGGAAAGGAATCAACTTCCATTTCTAGATTTTGGGTGTGTTCAAGTTCAGATATTTCACCCTGTGAGGTGATCTAATAATTTATAGACTATGTTCGATATGCCTACTAACATGCCTTTACGCTGTACCACAAACCGAATCATTATTACAGCCTATGTGGCCTCCAGGTTTGTACCTACACTTAAAATTCCATATACAGTAATCAACTGTTTTCTTTAAATGCAGCAGACTGCTGTAAAGAATGGTGCATTCTGGGAGATACAGGCTCAGCTTCTTGTTAAGAAGTTAAAATGGAGGATTTTACAGCTGTCATTTGCACAGCACGCTGGGAAAGTTGGCGGTACTTGTTCATTCTTGAGCAGCTGACTCTGAATACTTTAGGGATGAGGTGGCGCTTCAGTCCCTTCTGGCTTTGTCAGTTTTTTTAAGTTCCTATTATAGTTTCTTCTTCAGTTCATTTCCCAAGAGGTCCTTTTTTTCTTCATCTTTTAACAAGTTCATTATATGTTTGAAGGCATTTTATGTTTTGTTTTAAGTGTTTCAATTAGACTGTATTTCATCCTATAATGTTACAGCTAATAGACTGGGTTTGGTTGTTGCCATTTTTGTGGTTTTACGAGTTTAAATGAATCTTCTGTGATGTGTTGATTGGTCAGCAGTGTGCTGTTGTAGTATGGTTCTCTTAACTATGGAACAATGCCTATGAACATTAGAGTATTTGCGGTCAAAAGCCAGCTAGATAGATTCAGACTGCTTGCATTCTACATAATACAACTGAGGACAGATATGAATGTGCATTAGAGCACACATCAGTGCAGGGAAAACAAAACTGGACAAATACAGTAATCAGCTTTTACATTTCAGTGGCTGAAAGAACATGACACTGTAACAAAAAAACAGAGTGTATGTTGCCCTGTTGGTTTATAAGGGAAACTTTGGAAATGCTAAAATTCGCAGTGTTAAATGATGTTTTGTTTAGACAGTTAATTTCAAATCAGCATCATTCTCATTAGACAGCTGCTATAGCCCATGTGTCAAACACAAGACCCGCAAAAGTAATCCTATCCAGCCCGCAAAAGTATTTTTATTTTCTATTAATATTGGTTTCACAATGCCCTGCACTACAGTCCCCAGCATGCACTGCGACATGTGTGCTCTGACTCTCCTACCCTAACAGCAGTCAATGGGACTGTGGTTACACCTCAGTTCTACACAATTTTACACAATTGCACACCAGTCATATCACCAAATGCACTAGCTTCATTTACACCTAACGTTAGCTCAGCAGCTCAGAAATTGAATCCTTTCAGACTTTGCATCTATTGCAATGAACATCATGTGTTTCCTTCCTTTTTATGTTTTGTTGCACATAACACCAATTGAGACCTGTTGTACATTAGAATAGACATTTACCAGCCAATCAAACAGCAGCTTAGCCCCACCCACTGCATTGGAAAAAAAATCAGCACACTGAAGTAAGGTATAGCAGCACTCCAGCCAGAGTAAGGGCTTATTTGAACTAATTTTATCTGATTTAGAACACTTTTTTCATCTTGTTATGAGTTTATTTTACTGTTTAGGGATGGATTGTGAAATAAAAAGTAAAATATCAATTATAAACTAACAATGTTAAACACAGGATTGTTTTTTTATGTTATTGTCAATTACAGTGGACAGTGAGTCCTGATGTATATTGTTCAGGCTAGTTTTTTAGTGCTGCTGCTAAAATTTTACTTTGCAATCACAGTGTATACAGACAAATAGTACATTAAATGCAGTGTATAATAATGTGAAAAATATTTATTCTACAGAGTGGAAACATCTCAAATCAAAAGCAAGGCTAGTGATGATGAGAATGAAGATGTAGACAGTGCAAGACCCTCAGGAGTAGGTGAGTGTAACTATCTGTGAAAGTTTATTACAGTATAGTAAAGTTTGTTCTCCATAAAAATAAATATATAGAAATATAGCTACTTTTGGTTATTGATTTCAGGAGATGTTGGGGATGAGGAGGTACCACGTTGTTGAGGCAGTACATGATGATGATCAGGACAGGAAAATAAGAAATTGTCATATTTTGTGAAGATGATCCTTACGCTAACCTGACAGAAAAAAGACATCCTGTGGCATCACACTCCTTATGCTCATGTGCTGTCTACTAGGAAAGATCCTATCACAAACATCACTAAACCATTAACTTTAACACCGACCATCCACTGCAATGGACATTTTAAAAAATAGCAATAAAAATATTCTATTTAATTTTCTTTATTGAGTCTAGTTTTTGAGTTAATTACAGACAGAAAAGAGCATTCCAGGTGTGTAGTTCAAGCAAATAAGTAGGTTTAAAAGACTGAGATCCTGGGGACACTTACATTTTGAATATTTCAAGTATTTATGTAATATTTGAAGGTTGACAAGTGCCTATATTGTACTGTTGAAGTTTTTGAGTATTATAAATAACCAATAGCTAGTTTGGGTTACAGCAAAACATTAATTAAAAATTAAATAAAGACATAGGCGTTCTTTGGCCCACAGATTTGTTGAGATTTTTTAATATGGCCCTTGTAGTGGTTGGGCTTGACACCTGTGCTATAGCATAAGCTTCCCCTTAACAGCTGCAGTTCATACCCCTGCCTGTACCTCTGAAAAACTTTGCTGTTTTTTTTTCTTGCTATTCTTCTTTTTTCCCCTGCATTTTTGAAAATCTGATTTGTATTTCTTGATGGCATCTTCATTTGAATTAAAAACAAAATTCTCATTCAGACCATGACCAGGTTAAACCAGTAAACATTTACAGACACACACACTGGAGGGTGGCAGAAAGTAAGATGCACTGCTGATTTCTGTTATCTAGTTTTAATTATTACTTTTTTATATAAATTAAAAGTTTCAATTAAGAATATATCAGTAAGCCTAAAAATCACATGCAAAAAGGGAAAAGAAATAAAGTGAAAAAGGTACAATCTTTGTGGGCCCTTGGAATTGCCTGAACCCCCCACCCCCCCATCCCTTGTTTAGGACACCCCTGTAGCAGGTAGCAGGGTGTGAAGTATTGAGTATAACAGCGAGGTATTACCACTTCGCTCTAGTGCAAGCCTAGCCTACTTATTATGCAAGCACGCGCCAAAGTCTGTCAAAGTATGTAAATATTATGATTTGAAAACGTATGCTGATGATATGTAGGCCATAGCCTACACAAATTTAGCTCATCAGTACATTTGGATCATTTTGTAATGACCATTATCATCCAGTAGATGGCACTAAAAGACAACTTCTTACTCTCAGGAAAGGACAAATTGTTGATTATTTTGTGTCAATGAAGTAGGTTAGCAGAGGGCGTCTCTCTGGTCTTCAGACCCCTAGACAGCCCATTTTGTTGTAATTTACTTCCCAACAGACCTGAGCCTTCACCTGCGTTTCTGTGGCTCTCGATCACCTGGTGTGTGGAGCTAGAGCAGAACAAAAATAAAGACTGGCTGATGGGGTACTAAGAACAGGGCTGAGAGACTACAGGCTGAGAAACATTAAGAACAAGGAGCTTTTAGATGTAAACACTGCTGGAAAAAAACAGCATTCCACACTGGTCTATGATGGTTTATGCTGGTCTAGTGCAGGTCAAGTGCTGGTTTAGCTAGTCACCCAGCATGATCATCCAGCATACCAGCATCCAAAACACAACATAAGCTGGTTTTGCTTGTGACCAGCATATTAACTTCCATTGCTGCTGACCAGCATACCTGCATCCAAAAACACAGCACATGCTGGTTTTGCTGGTAACCAGCCATGCTGGTCTACACTGGGTTTTCTAGCAGGGAATGAACAATGATTGCAAGAGTCAGCATCTCTAGTATAGACTACTTACCAGTTTACAAAGAACTATGAACTGAAAAGAGAATAATTTGACCTTTTCATAAAAATTTGATGAGACAGCGTAATAGCAAAACAAGGCAGTGATCTGTTTATGCACCTCTAAAACACTTTGAGTACCTAGCTTGGGAGAGAAAAGGGTAAAAGGGCAATATCTGAATATCTGGGACTATTTTATCAAATGATAAAACATATCTTTTTCTTTCAATTGAAACATGCTTTGTGTACTCTGAAATGCCCAGCAGATCCAGACTCGGAAACACTTCTCCCTTGTTCTCCATCTCTCTCTGCTCCTCTCGTGGGTATTGTGAAGTCTTTTATCACAGAGATAAATCGAAGAGAGCCTGTTCACCACTTCCCTGTAACGAGGCTATGAGGAGAGAGGGAGAAGGTTGCTCGCTCCACAGCCCATTTAATCTGCCTGAAAGCTCCAAGTGCCTTCTTTAAAACCTTGTTAGTTTGAGGGCAAGACAAGCAGTTGTCAGTAACAAATGCTAAAAAATCCCTGTGGGCACTTTATCAACATGAGGCTCAGGCCAGAATCTTCCAATCTACCTTAAGCAAGCTCAGTAAAGGTAAACCTTACATTCAATTCCGTTGCGTTCCTTCTTGTACTTTCTAGAGCTGCAGTTTACTGCTCGTTAATCTTTATCATGATATTGGACTTGCCAATATCGTTTAGGGCTGCAATATGCAAATGAGACTCCAAAAAAAATCACATATCATTTATTGCTTTAAACATCCAGCCCAAATCTCAGATGACCCAGATGAGCTTTAGGTGTTTTATAAAGCCGTTTAAAAGATCAAATGTAAATAACTTAGGTCAAAATAATACAGGCTAATGGTTGACCCTGTTATTTCAATGTTTCACAAATGTTATTTTAATATATTGAAATGACAAGATCTAGCAATATATTAGCAATATGGAATTTTGTCCATGCCGTGTAAGACAAATATCTGCTTTTATTAATGAATAGCCTGCATTTTTACTGAACTCAAATAAAAAAAAAAACTTCCCATATAGCCCCCCCCCATCAAAACAGAAACACATCTTTCTTGTTAAACTAGGAAATATAATTTATTGCATAAAAATTATATTTAGTTACAGTAAGAAGGCTAAACTTTTATGTACAATAGAACTTTAAAAAGGTCTGAGCTCTGGTCCAACCTCTTGAAGAATTACATCTGAACAAAATGGGATCAATTTTATCCTCAAGGGTGCTCCAGGGAATAGCAACCAACATCCAGAAAGAAAGGGTTTTCCCGATCTCAGGAAGCCTGAAGAGAATCCAGCTCATGTCTCATACCTGAATGACCACCAGAGGCTGCGTCTGGGCTGGGAAAAGGTTACGCTCAAAGGTGCATCCTGAGCCAAAAGGCTACACATGCTTACGATTCCTTTGTAGTCTTCATCATCTCAATTGCCAGTGATTTTTCTTGTGTGGAGGTGCTAATTAAGTCCTCCTCATAAACTATGTTTACTGTGGCCTTTTCATATTGATGATGACATGCCTCCACACTGCTCAAGTGAGGCACAGAGCACACGGAACCCTGTCATAAGCCCTCTCCCAGGAGTCATTTTGTATTGTTTGTTGCTGCTGAGGGGCTTTTGAGAACCTTTTTGCCCCTAAGCCCTGCTACAGCATATGCCAGTAGTACAAGAAGAAAATAATTCCCAATCTTATACTTACACATCAAACAGAAAACTTAAAGAGGTCTGCAAATTCACTTGTGTTTGTACTTGCATAGAACTTACAAAGACATAAAAAAGAAATAGCTACAAAATGATGAGGCCCATTTAACAAGCACACATTCAATAGCACACACATACGCGCACACACACACATGTGCAGAGCTAGAATCACTCTTTCAGAGAAATGGACAGATACTGCTTGTATTTTCTTCTGGATATCTGAACACTTTTACAAAGAAAGGGTTATGAAAAATGAAAAGAAGTATGCTTATGATGCAGCATCAAAAAACATATGCTTCAAAAATGACAGCATGGACAAGTGATGATAAAAGGCCCATGATAGCCATGGCTGTTGGTTTCACACTACAGTAACATTTCTAACCCACAGTCAGAGTGGGCGAATGTGACAAACTGCAGTCAAAAGAGCAGCCATGCCATTTCAAAAGGCTACATTTTATAACTTAACAGAAGGCCTACAATTGGCTGACCTTAGAATCTGAACAGTGATTAATGCCACCAGATGAGTTACAATAGTTCTGTGCTCTTTCCAAAACCATCACTTCAATCTAGCGTTCACATTCTTTTCACGTCTGCTTCAATGGCTAAAATGACAGTTTTACTCATGACTTATTATACAGCATTTAGAAAAGCTGACCACAAAACATGAACTCCTTTAAGCACATTAAGACCACTCCCTGCTGATCTGCCTGCCAATAGAAATGTAATGCAACAGCAGTCAAGCACAGATGCAAAACAGTAATAGAACAGAAACAACAAGGAGTGAAAGAAACAACGATCCACTAATATGGACAATAACTTAAAAAAGTGCGTTCCCTATAGGAAACTTTTGTTGGAAAGCTCTTCTTCTGCATTATATATGATGGACTGAAGAGAAGATTTATTTAAGAGCAACCAAGATACTACGGTTCATAGAAGTTTTAGACCAAAGGAGAAAAGGACAATCCAGTAAATACAATTCGGTCCTCTAACAAAGACATCTGTCTGCTAATCCAGCCAACACGAAAAGGTTTTTGCGAAACAGGTGAAGGAATTTTTCAGGTTCACCGTAGCCTTTTCTTGATATGTTGTAAATGAAAATGACTGAGAATGAAACTCTGGCAGTCACCTTGTTTGTGTTGATGGGTGACCTTATTTAGTAATTAGATCGGCTGTTTATGGATTGTTTTTCCAGACACAGATTTAGCCTAGTCTTAGACTAAACTGCAGTGCCGGTGGTTAATCACCACTGGAAATGAATTTTAGTCTCACTTTAGGATTGGGCATAATGTGTATGCCCCTTTGGGGCTTGAGACACCACTCAGAATGAGTTTGTGCATAGCTGCTTGATGATGACTTCCAGTGATCACTAGAAAACAAAGCTTGAGGATATTCAATTATGCACTTTCACACTGGGCTTCCAGCATGTACAAACCTGGTAGTGGGTGTGTGTGTTAGGGGAGGGGTTGTAAAAGACAATGACGCATGTAAAATTAAGATAGGGGAAAAGCCTCCTTGGATCATGAGCTTATATGTATGGTTTACACAGGCATATAACATTTGAAACCTTGCCACATGGATCAGGATTTGAAAAAAAATCTTGATCTACTCCAAACGACACCACTGATTTCTGGTTTACCAGTGGTGCCCAATGGTGTGACTCCATTTGCTACAGCTGAACACAGCAGTGTATGTCAGACTGGGAGTTCATCCAGCCAGTGGCAGCCAGCCTCATGTGCTTGGGCACAGCGTCCTCTGGGGTTCTGTACGCACACACTGGGGTTGAGGTAATATAGGCAAGTCATCATGGCGTGTGGGAACAAGGTTTGTGCACTGGATGTAGTTTCCTCATGCCCATCCACTGGCATTAATGGTTGCTTTTATTCATGGTGACGAATTTCTCTTCTTCTCATGCTTTCCGATTACCAAATCAGCAATCCCCATCTGTCGTCATGACAACTAAGACCTCACTCTTGCCCATCTCTTCAAGAGCGGTCGCCAGGGAGACCAGGTCTGCGTCACCCTGGTGACAGGCTTCCCACAGGTCGAGCAGCACACCTGTGGGGCTGGGTTTAGTCGCAAAGTAGTTCAGGTACCTGAGACAGAGACAGGGCACAACAATATGAAGAGAAGGCACCAGATAACTAACTCATGCATTTTTGCAAAATGATACTGTCATCAAAGTATTAATGGGAGACATAAAAATGGAAACACCAAGCACTATGTAAGTAATAAAGTATAACACAATGTTGGACAGCACTCTTCTGTCTTACAATACTGTTACACATGTTTTTCACACTCTCCACTGGGGAAGCTGGATCACTCGACAAGAAAAACAGATTCACTTTCATACTGAACTGCTGGAAGCAACTAGTGTGGGTTTCCTTTGGGTTCTTAAAAAAAAAAAACCCAGAGTACAGTAGGAATAATGCATAACTTCTTGAACTATATTACTGTTTTCCATTGCTCTTAGGTTTTCCATGTTGACTGTTAAATTTCATGCCTCCTTCCTAATAGAACCTTTATTTCTTTAAATCAGGCAACAGTCATTCTGGACACCATCTCTAGGCACAACAAAACCTCCATTTTATAATCTAGCACAACCACCTCTAGTTGGAGCATCCAACTATTTATCTTCTGTCACTATTGTAGATTGCAGTTTTTTAGTATCTCCTTGCAATCTCAGTAATTAAGTTGTTGTTTGCACAATGAATATTCCCTTCTTTTTATTGTGTTTCCATTATTTTGTCAGTCACAGCGCATACACACACACACACACACACATATACACCCTCATGCTTATGTACGCACCTGTCGAAGCCTAAGCTGTGTGCAAGCAGTCTCCAGTCACAGCCACGGGCGCTGGGGGCATCCAGACTGGCACATATCTTTTGGCGAATGGAGACTGGCAGGCGGAAGGCATAAGGGCCTACTTGAGAGGAGGGCAGGCATGTCCCTCCTGCAGGCAATGGCGAATGGGGGGGCAATGTCTGATAGAGAAGCACACAAAACCAAAGACCAATCAGTGACACTTGATTATTTATTTATTTATAATTTTTTTTTTTTTTTTAATAATGGGTTAGCATTTTCATTTTAAGTAAGTAAGGATAAGTAATTCCTTAATAAAACAATAAAACAATACGATCTGTACAATTATCACAGTAGGCATAGTGCAGTTTGGAGCCAATTTAGCACCAATTACACTTTCTAGTAAAACTCTTCCCCCCATTCTCCATACCTCTTGGATGTCAGTGTGCAGCTGGAATATCTGCCCCTCTCCCTCCACCTGTCTGACACAGATTTTGCAGCTAAGCTGAGACACGGCCAGGCTGCCTCTCTCCAGGCTGAAGGTGCAGTGCAGGGGCCGTTGGTTCCCACTCCAGATATGGTAGAATGGGATCTCCTACAACACACAGAAATGATGGACTTAAAAAAAGCAAAACTACATTCTATATATTAGATACGTGTCACATAAATAATATGGATTAGGCTTGTTTGTTCATATTTTTAAAAAGCTATCCAGAGACAGTTACATTATAATAATATTGATTACTCTGCATTGCCTGCCTTGAATATAACAGTAAACAAACAAAGTAGAGTAAAGGCTAAGACATTAAAACTGTAAACCAATTAAATGAATGACACTTTGCCAGAAGAGGTAAAGGTTTACAAAGTAAACTGCAAGCAATAATTTATTTTAATGTGACTGGGAAAATGTGACCCTCTGAAAGACAATCACTTACCTGATACTTGGCAAGAAGTTTGCTCCTCCAATGAGAATGTGGGATGTCATGGATTGACAGCCGCAGGTTATGATAACTGTCCTTAAAGAGAAGCGCTTTGGGATCCTCCAGCAACACTCCGCCAAGACTTCGCTCCAATTCTAACACTTCCTGCACACATTGATTATCAAAAGATTCTTAAAACAAGAAACACAGTCACTGAAATCTGTGAGGCTTTATTTCACTAGTTAGACTTTGAATAAAACAGCAGCTCTGCAAGACTAACCTTCAGGGCATGTGGAGTGTCATGTATGCAGTAGACTCTCAGGCTGTAGTCCAGTGAGAGGCAGGGGGCTCGAGGGGCAAACAGTGCGAGCTGCAGCCTCTTGCAGGCGGGCTGAGGCGGAACTGACTGACCCACTAGCCCATAGGTGCCCAACTGTTCCATCAGAATGTGACAGCTCTGCTCCTCCACCTGCAGGTAGCATGGTGACGACAGACTCTCCTCTCCCACTGTCAGCACCTCCTAGTGACAGGGAGGGAAAACGGCAGAAGGTTATGAATCTCATCTGCGACAAGGTTAGAGTCACTTTTTCACTGGGATGGTATGAAAATTTCTGTCATGGTATTAGTTACTGAAGTATTAATAGTTTTTGGAATTATCACAGTATTGTTAAAATATAGTGAAGATTATTAAAAAGCAATAATACACACTGAAATAATATCACCACATGCATTATAATGATACTATACTTTTTATAGAACCTCTCCTATTTCTTTGAAACATGAAAAATTACCATTTAAATAAAATATTTATCACCAGCAGTACTACTGTTTATTTCTCAGATAACTATGTACATGTGCATTACAAGGAAACCACAGCAGTAGGCTATGAACCTTCATTGTGACTCTGTAAAAATACAGTAATCATTCATCACAGTTACTAAAATTTGAAATGACATGATGATTGTTCGGTTTTCTATTGTATATTATCTTTGAAACTAGTAACTCCATAGCTACTCCCCACTGACCTCCCAGGCTCCTTGGTTGGTCTGAGTCTTTAGGGTGAGGCTCCAGTCAGGGGGCTCCAGCTGGGCGCAGTGGGGTAGAGTGAGAATGACTGGCCGGCTCAACAGCATGCCTGAGGGCCCACAGCTCACCACTGGACTCAGCACTGTCTGACCACCCTCAGATGGTAACCTGACCCAGGCCGCACACAAGTAATGAGCCCACCATTAATGCATGAGTCCATCCATTAAAACAATGCACATTTAAAAAACATTAAGGAACATTTTTAGACAAGACACATTACTACTGCATGTACATCTACATGGCCTAGTTTTGTCCTATACTGTCTAGGCTCTCTCATCATTTCTTAGTCAACAAAATTACTACTACAGTACACTAACTGAGCTCCAGAAAAAGAAATCCAGGACAACTGAAAACACTATCAATATGGTAAGCAGGGCAAGAGATGTAAACGCTACAGAGTACTGAGAGTACAGGCAGAAAGAGATCTTACTCCAGCTAATGCTGGTCTTGAGAATAGACCTTAATGATATATTCCAAAAGAAAAAAAAAACACAACAAAAAGTGTGCCTCAGCAGAAAAGTCTGCACAAATACATCAGTTTAACTGCTTTCATTTCATGTTTGTCTCATTTTCACCTCCCCAGATTTTGAAGTGCTGTCATATAAGCCACAGTGTTTATGCAGTTAAAAACAGCTCTAGTAGGGCTGGAGAGATTTACTGAATTAGGCTGTCTGCAATGGCAACAAGTGAAGCTGTAAATGTCAGCCAAATAGAAACCCAAGCTGTGACAACAAGGAGAGGGGAAGAGAGGGAAGACAGAGGAAAACCAATCAAAGTATCTGCCATAGTATGAACAGTAGAATAATATTTTTAAAGTGGCTGACTTACGTGGTCTTCTCCCATTTGTTAATGATGAGATACATCTCATAGAACTTTCCCTGAGGAATGGTTCCTGGAGGCACCAGTAAGCTCACACCTGAGAGACAGACATAGAGGCATAGATCTAAACATTTTCATCTAGGCGAACTTATTTGAAACTTTTGTAGGCCATTTGTAGAACCTGTCATAGGTCAATTAAGGATGTCCCCAACATTGTTTTTTGCCCCTAGTCCCGATCTGAGAGGTTGGAGGGGGCATTTCTCCTTTTCAAATGTTTTGCTTTTTTGACCATTGATTTTGTGAAATCAATGGTTTCAAAGTATGCTGTTCGACATGTTCATATGAGGTGTTATTGATGTTTTGAATGGCTGTTTCATGAAACAACTGTAGCAGCAGAGTTTCAAATGAATTAAAGGACACTATACATTGTGCAAATCAAGTGTAATGTAGGTTCATGTAGGTTTTTACTGTGTTAAGTCAGTCTAATATACACAAAATAGACCACTCAATTCTTGTAATAGATTATGTTCTTTCTACTGCGTGTGTATTAGGCACTTTAAAATACTTTTACATTGCTGACTTTTGAGCTGCTCACTAACTTATTAACTGTCAATTTATACCACCTCCATCATAGTGATGTAAAGAGAGTGCAATGCGGTAAAATAGGTCTAAAAGTTTCAGAACTGGATACCAGTTCATTAAAATATCCCAGGACTGGCATTGATAACCACATTTCAGATCAGATCGGTACATCTCTGGCAGAAGCTATAGTTTAAAGTGTTCAAAGTGAAAGTGGCTTGCCTGTGTTAGGGATGGCAAGGCGCCCCCCAAGACAGCCAAGCGTGGCACTGGCGCTGTTTCCTGGCTCTCCTGGTAGAGTACGTCCAAGTGTGTCTCTGGGTCCGCTGCCCACTGTCTTCAGACTCATGATCTCTCCATCAGAGGAGCCCGGGCCAGCAGGCAACTCCACAGAGGACATGGTGGAAGAGTCATACACCTTTATTTTCAAGCCAGGCAGGGGGTCCAGCAGGGGGGAGGTGGTCATGGGGATCTTGTGGTGGGAGTCCAGCGTGCTCTGCTGCAGAGAGGAGAAGAGCGGCCCACGGAACGTCCCGGCGCTGGCCGTCAGGTCAGGGGGAGCTGAGGGGTGCAGCAGATGTGGGTTATCTAATGAAGGAGAAAAAGTGTTTCTCTGAAGATAGGGTGGAAGTAAGAGGGTTTTTCAATGTGGTTAAAAAAAGTTATGGCAAAAGCTGCCTAAGGAATGAAAGCATTAAAGAGAGGGAAGGATTTGAAAGTGTGCTCATACAGAAGAGTTCAGGGAGATTAAATGCAGTTGAAGGGAGAGAAAGAGCTCGAGACAGCGGGAGGAATGTGAGTGAGCAGCTGAAGAGGATTAAAAAGCTAAGATACAGCTGAAAGGGAAAAAAAATGAAGCAGTTTATACTGGGTTTGACAGAGTGAGAAGGAGAGGTAATAAGCTATGGAAAGGAATGAGAGCAGGGAAAGAAACAGACAGAGTGATCTCACCTTGTCTTGGTGGTTTGTAGTTGCCAGGGTGGAAGGCCGCAGTCAGGGCAGATGAGGAGTCAGTGATATCGCCACGGAGATGGCGACAGCTGCGGCGGTAGGCCAGGATGCCCACACACAGCACGAGGATGACACACAACAACAGAGCCCCCACCAGCCCTGCATACACTGCCACTCCTGCACCAGAGTCCAGCGCTGAGGCAAAAACAGAATTAGTGTTAAAAAAATCAATGAAAAAAGTGATGTATTGATTTTACTTGATTCAAACTATTCAAACTATTTCCATATTAATGAACTATTACACCCCAAAATTGTGTCTTTCATTTTCACTTGGCAATGATATTGGTGATCTTATCTGTTTTATTCATGTAAAACTTATGTACAAATAACCTTTTGTCAATGTACTGTATACATCGGTGGTTTCCAGTCCTGATGTTATTGTTGAACTGCTCAGCATACACTTGCTAAGCAGACGATATAATGTGTTAACATCTTTGTATCCAGTGTATCGCTTTGTATCTACTTTGACCAAGGTCAAGATGGTGAAGATGGTACTTTAACAGTGACGACTTTTTTTTTATAAATAGGGCAGTTCTTTGCACTAAATGCACATAAATGAACTCTGTAACTGTTTGTGTTTTTTGTTTTGGCTTAGATTACTTAGATGAAGATCTGATCACATTTATGATCAAATTTATGGAGAAATTCAGAGAAATCTAAAAGGTACACAAACTTTCTAGCACCACTGTGTGCTATGTTCTTGTGGCCTGACATGACATGTATTAAAATAATGACAACACAAAAATGTGTTATTAGCACATCATTTTTTAAAAGTTTACTTGCTATAACACACCTAACACAATCAATCAGCTAAGTAACAAGCTCTTCATGAGTTGAAATGGGTGTGTTAGAGCAAAGAAAACACTCAATTGTACAAGGCAAGGTAGCACAATGTACTCCAGAACTACTGCTTTGCATCATCAGTTCTTGTGTTTTCATTAAAGTACTTACACAACTTTCACATCAGTCTCAGGAGATAGCTATCATTTTGAGATATGAACAAATAAGCTGATGGCATGAGCTGATACAACTCTAGCCTGCATTCCTAATTCTTAACCAGCAGGGGGGGAGTCAATAATCCAACTATAATAGTTACATGGTCACATGGTCCCATCTTAACCTCACCAACACACACACACACAGACTACCCCAAAAGAAAAGAAAAAAAAATGGGGCAGAAGGTATGAAAGGAACAAAAACAAAACCATAGAGGAAGAAACAAGGAGATGATGCAAATGAGCAGCAAGTAAATAAAAAAGAAGACAAAAGTAGGCAGAGGTGTTTAACGCTGCCTACATAAAGATGACAAGGGGGCTAAAGGAGCAGTGTAAGAGATGGACAGTGGAGAGGAAGTGAAAAAGAAGAGAAGAAAAAGAGGAGAGAGGATGGCAGCAAGGGGCGAAAGGGCTCACGTGGCAGGACAGAAGCAAATCCGACAGCCGTCATAACTTTTTATTCTAAACGGAGGAGCTGCGAATTAGGTGCATTACTTCTCAGCCTTGCCAGTTTCCAGTGTCACATTGATCTCTGAATATTAGCATCACTGCAGCTGTAAGCTACACTGCTGAATGCAAAAAGCCAGAGAGCTGTGCACTCATTAGCTGCCACATGTCTCAAAGCACTGCTCAATTTCTGAACCAAGCTGGCATATGCATTATATATAACCCTCCCAGTATGTACATATTTATTTTTAATGCATCAATCTGCATGGAAGGTTAATTCAGCCTCTGGAAAAAGTGCTGATATTACAAAGCAATCCAAATCTCGTCAAATGTTTTGATAATTACTTTTCGCCAAAAGAAAAAATGTTTAATTGTAATCCTGCCATTAGTCTTTCAAAGTTCATTAGGCAAGAAATTCGCTCTTAAAAACTGTTCATGCTTATTTTACAACTAAGGCTTCCTTGGCCACTAAAATGTTCTCCTTGTTTCTCTCATTATCCAAGAAATCTATTCTTACAGTGGTTAATGAGTAAGCAGTTAATGTTTATTTTATGACTAAATCCTTCCTAGGTCACTAAAATCACCTTTTGTTGCCTACATTGTGGACAACAGTTAAATGCTGCAGTGCCTCTTACTATAAAAACCATACTGTGGACTTACTGCTGATAGGATTAGCAAATTATCTCCATTTTCCCCTGCTTAAAAGATTGTGCTATTGATATTTTTGCTCTTTTCAAAGCCTGGAGTCACCATCATGGTCTAAAATATATTCTTCCTTGCAGGAAAATTATGCAATGTGGGGGACCATTACAGGATTACACACAGAACAAGGTACAACAGGGCAGTGTGCTGTGAATCCAGCAGTGAGCTAGATTAGACATGACATGAATGCATCGATGCTCTCACGCACACAACCACATAACCACACAACCACACATTGATGCACGTCAATGGGTAATATTGCATGGATACACTTTCACAACCTCTTACATGCAAGCATATGTCTTGCTCACAGACAGACAGACACACACACACTCATACACACATAGTGAAAAATGGACAGACATTTTGTGCAAGAAAATAAGGACATGAAAAAATGAACTTACGATGGGTCGTATGTTCAACAGAAATCTTTTTATCTGTTAGAAAAAAAATAAAGAGGAAAAGTAAGAATGAACATAAAAATGGATGAACCTGTCATGCATTCTGAAGTTTTGAGATGACCACAATGAAAATGAAGCAACAGAAATAAAATGAATAAACAGTAATGTGTAAAATCAAATCAGATTTTTAATACATTTTTAAGACTCCAACAAAGATCTTAATGCAGCATTTTCACGACATGACATTTACTCAAACACAAATCTATTCATGTCCATTTTATTTAAACTGGTTGTTTAAAAATCAAATATGGATATATTCAAGATTTTCAGTTGTTGACTTTTTTTATTTGGTTTTGAGTCATCTAGCCTCTTATCAGTGGTCTGTTTATGACCACAGGAGCAGTGTTGGCTGGATATTTTTGGTTTGTAGACTAATCTGAATTAAATATTGGCAGTGACTCTTTTCAAAAAATATTTAGCCACCATTATAAGAATTGAAGTATGTCCCAATTAATTTTTCACTTTAAAGTCAAGTAAAATATAAAGCAGAACGTGTCCATGATCGTTTACTTTTTAACTAGTCATGATTCATGAGTGAAAACGTCACAGGAGTGTTTTTTATATGGTCTGATACCAGAAAACAACCTTGAACTGCAATAGCCCCTCGCTTATGTTTTACATGCCCATGTTTTCACAAAACACACCAGCACTGGAAATCAAGTTTTCATTTTCCACTGTAAAATGGTACCAAACAGCAGATATTGTTAGCGCTTTGTTATCTTTCAAGAACGTGCCTCACTACTGCCGAGTGTGGCTGTTTTAGAGTAACAGCAACACTGCTTTGGAACTTGTTTGCACTCTGTTTATGCCATAAGAGTCAAAAGACATTTTAAAACATTTCATTACATTTATTTAATTTAATTCTGTCGGAACCCTGACATTATTTTGTAAATAAACTGTATACATAAAATAGTACTGAGTAAACACAAGTAAAAACTGAGCAACCTGGGTCTGCAGGTGAACGAGTAAGTGAGTGTGTGAGGGGCTGCATTATTGATGCTGGAATCTAGTAGTGGAGTCAAAACACATGCGTGTGCCACAAACACACACACACACACACACACACACACGCACACATACAGCTACCCACCCGCTGTGTGTGTTTGTGTACATATCTAGGATTTTATGACTGTATGTGTGTTGAGGTGTCATCAGCTTGGCTCATCCCAAATCAGCCCCTAGGATAACCACTGAGTGTCAAAATGAATCGACTTCATTCCCACAGGTATAATATAGCTGATTTTTCCATTGTCTTGAATTCATCACTCAACTGCCTGGCTCTAAAAATCTCCCCATTTACCTCATTTACCATCTCAGCACTAATCATGTCTCAGCGTGATCGACAGCAAGTGTCCTTAACACAGACACTAACACAGCATGGCCCACTCAACACATATTCACATGACATTCTTCTTTAACACCAGTGTTTTTCACAATGCAAGCTCTAGGCATGTGGCTATACATCTCTAAATGTATGCTAACTGTGAAAGTGATTATAAAACTAATTTTGATTCCGTCTAACTTCCAGCTCTGTGTGCCAGTGTTAGACTATGTTAGATCACGTGACTCACTGCGGGCACACAGTCCCTCGGTGCAGTTCTTGCTCTCCATCATGCTGCCGCTGCAGTGGCGTCCTCCGTTGCGTGGTGGGGGGGCCTGGCACTCACGGCTTCGCCAGTGTGTGCATTCAGTCCCACATGCGGACCACTTTGCCCACTCCGTCCAGCCTCCGTCCACTGGAAAACAACACAGAGTACAATAAACAGCGTGTCTCAGAAAGCACATCATATCTCATAGCACTTCTCAATAAGCTATAAGCATATTGACACTGTCTTAAAAAAAACTCATAACTCCATTTATTTTCATATTTTATGAGAAATGGGCTAAGAGAAATAAAAAAAGTAAATCTTTTAACATGAACAGATGTGAAGAACATGATTTCTTAGCGTAACGTCCTCAATGAAATATTCAGTACCCTACTGCTATTTTGCTTTGTCTTGATGTGTTAATGAGCATGGAACACCGTGCAGGAGGCAATGGGCCAGATTCATAAAACTCAAAAGGGTTAGCATGCTATACTATGCAAATGTGTGGCATGGTAATGAAGCATTATTCATCAAGCCATCATGGCGGCGTTCAACACACAGTTTTCTCCTAACCACTGCAATATTTTTAAACATGTCCTAGGTAAAACCAATCAAATTTGACAAAAATTTTGAGCTACGGATTCTAAGAAAACACGTAAATGGAGCCTACTCTAAATTGCAGAAGTAATTTTAAAAAATAGTAAATAATAGCAAACTATATCAATGTGGTATCAAAATAACGAACTTCTATCCACAAAGTGATGGTGAGACAGAAAAAAATTAAAGTGAAAGCAAAAGCCTCCACAAAAAACTGCATGATAGTTTAGCTTATTTTTAAATCATGACAGATCAGCAAAATTGTATCTTTCCTCAATATATCTATATTTTTATTTAGCTGGCAAAGCCACATTTAAAGCTCTTGTAAAATATCGATATTAAATTCTACATTAAGCCTTCTAAAGCAAATCAGCTTCCTATTCTTACACTCCAACAACTGCTCTTGCAATGTTTGCCATGGTACTCAATCCAAAAAGTTGTGCATTTTAAACAAATTGATTAATCAACTGTGTGGGCGCATAATTTGTTGATAACTTGCACGTGTGACTAAACATGCTTGAAAAATTATAGAAAACATCAGTCAATCCTCAATGGCTTCTTATGGATCTTTTCTTAATGATTTACTGTCCTACTAGCACAGGTAGTATTTTTTGCATGATGAAGCCCTGTTATGAATTGCTAGGCACAAGTGCAAAAACCCTAAGCCAATAATATTTGTTTATGAATAAGAAAACATTACAGCGAACCTATTTGCTCTTAACCTCATAGTAAATCTGGCAGTGTGTTTTATGAATCTAACCCAATGTGTCTTGTCGTGTCTGCGTGTAGCGGTTTGTGTATGTTTAGTTGAATTAGTAATTGATAAATGCTAGTCTGTTTCACCTGGACAGAGGGTGGTGCAGGTGACTCTTTGAAAGGGCGGACCCTCACAAAAAGCGCCTCCATTGAGCGGTGCTGGATTGGTGCAACTACGTGTCCGTCGCTGCCAGCCACGCCCACAACGAGCATTGCACTCTGACCACTCTGTCCAGGATGACCAGCCACCACTCACTGAGGAAAAACACACACACACACACACACACACACACAAACACACCCACATACATAGGCAGATGAGGAATGCACTGACAGAACATTCTGCATTCACCTAGACTTCTTGTCAAAACAGCAGCTGGATACACAGTTTGCTTTAAGGGGAATGGGCCACATTAGCTATAGTAACTGGACAGTGAACAGAACAATGCAGCAAAGAGCTTTTCCATTCTACACACACACATACATCCTGTCAAGTGAGGAATCTCACTAGAAACAGAAGCATTTTGAGCATACGTATAACAAAATCAGACTTTTTGGGTATGCTTTGCTATCTTTTAAAATTTTCAATGCCTTTAATGCCTGGTTTTCTTTCATATTTTTTGATGAAATAAAGGGAAAAAGAAAGGATGAACATGAAAATGGGTGAACCTGTCATGCATTTTGAAGCTTTGAGATGACCACAATAAAAATGAAACAACAGCAATGAAATGAACAAATGTATTATTTGCTAAATAAATAACTAGAGGCACAATAATTTTCAATTGAAAATACTAAGTATAGGATGGGACCCGTCAAATAATTCAAACTAGTTTAAGCCAGGCTGAATAGTTACCATAGACGATGAGTGTAGCAGTGCTGCTGCGTCGCTTGGCAACCACATTTTTGGCCACACAGGTATAGTTAGCCGTGTCAGAGAGGCGAGCCTGCTTGATGATGAGGTCATGGTCGACCGTCATGAGGAAGTTTGAGTCTTGTGCAGGATCAATGAGCTCCTCATTCTTTAGCCATTCCACCTGCGGCATAAAGAGAAAAAAAGTCAGCAGCCCTTATAGGCCAGAGAATGGTGCAATGCAAAGAGGTCAAATGGTGCACTTAAAGAAAACATCCAGGGGCATTTTAATGAATTACGAGGAATAGTGGCTGTCAGATACAGAGTCAGAGTGTGTTCAAAGTTTAATTGAATTTTATGCTCTTCAGGTTGGCTCCATTAATTTCACAGTGAGCCTTGGGTTTTTCAAACACACTACAGAAATGTTTCAGTATTACTTTTGAATGAGGAGTAGAGAACAACACAGCTAGAAGAACAGCACACATTTTATACTCCAAAAGAATCTAAATGAGAGGAAGAGGTGGAGAAGACGCAGGAGGAGGAGGAGGGATGAAGATAATGTACCTCAGCAGGTGGGATGCCCTCTGGTGGGCGGCACTGCAGCAGGACTTCCTGTTCCAGACGCACCTCCCTGCCGAGCGGCTCCTGCTCAAAGTTCTTCCGCAGGTCTGAAGAACACAGCAGATGGTGAGAGACGCTTTTATCAACAACGCAAACCAACAAACAAGAAAAACGTCCCCAACCTTGCTCAATTCTTTATGAGCATACAGTAAATATTACAGACCTGGCATCGTTCACTAAAATCCGTTCCCATATACTTACATGCGATGCGAACGTATGCACGGCGACTCTTGGTGGTGCCTGCAGAGCTCCAGGCCACACACTGGCACCAGTAATCCTCTAACCCAAATAACTCCTCAACCTGTGTCCTGGACACAGAGATGTCCACCTCACGCACCACCAGACCTAACAGAGAGCCACACATGATATTACAACCATTAACCCACTTAGGTTCTCCATGAAATTAGTTTAATTATTTTCATCTGTAGCTCATTGAAACAACTCAAGATATTCTGTTAAAAGTGCATATTCTAACCTTTCAAGCACAATGTTAACAAACAATTGCAATTAGAAAATGAGATAATTTATTTTGATTGGACATTGAAGAAAAGCTAGAGTCTTATTTTAGGGAAGTCTTTTAACCTGGTTTTCCACAGTGAAGCTTGCATGCAACTCTGTTTCTTGATATTTACATTAACCTAAATTTCTGCAGTCCTGCAACTCACTTGAAACTCAGCTGCAAACAGTTGGAAGCATCCCAACTTTGTGAAACAAGTTTCATGAAACAGCCAATCGAAAGTATCAATCACAACACTAATAACAAACCACTGTGAACATGTAGTACTACAGTTTCAAAGTGATTTCACTGGATCAATGGACAAGAAAGTAGGATGGTGTACTGGTCAGTTTAAAAAAGGAGACCCCCTGATCGACTTTATGTAAGGCTAATAGATTTTCATTTTGTCAGTTGCCTAAACACTGACAACATACAAACAGGTTTCTTAAAGCTAACATTTCTGTAACCAGCTGACTTGACTAGTTAGCTAGTGGTAACAGCTGTTTAAACAGCTGCTTGTGCAAGTGTTTATTCTGATTTGTTAGCCTGTAGTTATCATGATCTACATAACTAGATACATTTTCTACTTTACTAACAAAAAGCACAGATTCCTTTGGGATACAAATAATAAAAAATTATTAAGGCAAGACGTGATGAGGTCCTCGATTAACTCGTAGTGCTTCTAGCACAGAATGAGTGAGGCATAATGTACAATTGTAGTGGCGACTTAAACATTCATTTTTTTAAGGGTCAAACATATACAGACAATATTAAAACTCCAATACATAGTAAAAAATATTTAGACAAATAGATAAAAAAGTAATGGCAATGACAACTGGAAAAATTATTCAAACACAATAAAAATGCTGCAAATATGCAAATGTAAAAAAGATGTTGCACATGATTTTATACAGAGAGAACAATGTATTAAAAATAAAAGCTGCTAATTTGGCTAACTAGTGGACTAATCAAAGGTGTAGTGTGCAACTTTGCTTGGTTTTTAATTGCTTTGTGTAACTGTTAAGTTGCACAGAAACATACTTAAGTTGCATGCAACTCACAACATGCAAAGTTTCACTGTGTAGATCCAGCCGTCATTTTATAACGAAGTGCACTATTAGGAATTACATATTATGTATTTAAATAATTACATAACAAAACTGAATAAACAGTACAATAGTGAACACAAATGTAGACTTCTAAAGGAAAATTCATAACAATAGAAGAGTGGTAGAGAGAAATTATTATGTTTATGTGAGCTAGGTTGGTTAGCTACTGTTTCACAGTTGCAGATAAAGCTACTTATATTTCTGAGGAGAGTAAGACAATGAGAGTGAGAGTGTTAGATACCTGTGATCTGGTCCAGGTTCTCCTTGGTGACATGGTCATTCTGGTTAACCCACTCGCCATTACATTTGAAGTAAATCTGGGTGGCGGGAGCAGCCTTGCAGGAGAGTTTTACTGGTCTGTTTTTTACGATGAAGGCATCCTCCGGCTCACTCTGAAACTCTGGCAGTGGTTCGGCTGGCGCAGATGGGAAGGAGTCTGGTAGAACCTCACTGTAGTCACTGCCATCTACACACAGAGAAAAAAAACACAGCATGATCAGTTGTGCACATGGAGTATTAGTGTTCAGGTGGCCATGCTACAGTTCAAAAGTTTGGAATCATTGTTTTCAGTAATATAATATCAATGCATGTATAAATGTATTCTAATGTGATACCAGTACTTTACAACTTCACAAGTTCCAAATAATTTGTAGGAAGCTGTATAACATGAAGAATGAAGTTATAAAGCAACTATAACAGCTATAAAATATAAAAAAATAACATCAATAATACCTTGTATTTGAAAAGTGGCAATTAAAAATCAAACGGCAGATCATTTAACCAGAAATAACATGACATAACAAGTGATTCCAAACTTTTGAATGATAGCCTATCTGTAACTGCGAGTGAAACTAGCTGAGATGATGAAGCAGCAGAAGAGCATATGAAGGCGTGAGAGCCTGAGCGACCACGTTTTTACAGTCTTTGACCTTTTAGGTCTACAGTGGCGTCAGAGCCCCAGTTCTCTGCAGCTCGGCTCATACCCAGCGAACCGTCCCTGGGGAGTGTAAAGAGGCGCTGAGCGCGGGGGGACAGGCTGACCTTCCACTGAAAGGCCCAGTGATCACACATTATCCCCTGACATTTCCCCCGTGACACATCCCTCACAGCAGTGCAGCTCATCCAGGGGGCCGTGTCTGGCAGCTCCGTCACCTCCAACACTGCCGTGTTCTTAACCTTTTAGCTTTAACAGCCAACAGCTACACACGCTACTGACCACCCAATTCAAATGAGCTCTGGAGACACCCATGCCATGGGGCAGAGTGGGGAGGGTGTCAGTTTGCACTTTCTCTGATTTACAGTAAGGCATATGTGCAAAAGAAATGCATTCTTCACAGCTGACAACTCTCAGAAATCATGTTACCATTTGTAATTGCAATATGTGAAATTAATTAGAGAAAGTGTTAGCATAAACCTTTCATTTAACACAAAGTGTCCTTCAAGGCTACTGTTATTTTCACTTGTCCCAAAGTAACAAAGAAAATGAATGCTGAGAAATCAAAGTAAGATTCTGGAAGATACCCCAGTGACAACAAGGCCTTTTTAAATTGCTCTAATACTGACTGAAGCAAATGTATCATTCGTTGGGTCCTAATGCTAATCGAGACCTAAACAAAATGAGGGCTGGAGAACACCATTAGCTATTATGAAAGAGTCAGATGGCTTAACTGTGCATGTAGAAGGGCAGAAAGAACATAATTCTGTTGTTGGTCACATGCATAGATACAATATTTTGAGCAACAGAAAAAGTAAGTTAAACTTCTGAATCAGAAATAGAGACTGTATAAAATGGTGTGAAAAGTTTCCTGTTTGTTTGTTATTTAGTTTTTTTTCTAGAAAATGCTTTTTAGGTACTGTCATAAACTCCTCCACACAAACACACAGTGCCAGAGCGAATGGTGGCCAAATCTACTGCAGCTATAGCTATTTTTCTTTTCCTAGGTTGCGGAAGACATTCAGTAAACAAGACCAGCATGGGAATAAGTAAAATCAGTAGCTATCAAGACACAAACACATGTAACATGTAACACACACAGGTGGATGCACACACGCATACACACACACATCCCATTGTGAATTCTGGAGATAGAACAGTGGCTGGAAGGCCACTAGAAGGTCCTGGCTGAAACTGTCACTGTCAATATGTCTCCATATGTGACAGCACCGTCCTTTTACCTAGCACACAGAGTGACTAGTCAAGGAGACCCACGCACACACACACAAGCCAAACTGTAGCTCCAAGCAGAAAGACTACATTAACTCCCACACCACCCCCCTATCTGCACACTCACTCTTACCTATCACAAAGTACAATAGTACACAATAAATGGAATTCACAAAGAAACACGGTCAATTGAAATCACTCTGAAACAACGTCCTCTTCTGCACATCACAAACACGCATTGTGCCGGTGTCTGACTCAGCCTCTCCACTCCCTCCCTCCCTCGGGCTCTCCCTCTCTTCCTTTATCCTCCTCCATCAGCTGCCATCCTGTGTCTTTCAGACTTTGACTTCTCTGTCAATAAGTAATTGTGTTTCTCTTTTTCCTTGCTCTCTCCGTATGGCATTGATCGCTCCACTCAAAACATGTGCCCAAAACACAGCCTGTCACATGCACACACACACAAACGGAAAGACAGAGAAACACAGAGAGAGATGGACAGATAGAAAGAGAGTGACTGAGTGAAGTAGCGAATCACTTCAAATACACACTGTATGCTGTGTGCTTGTGCATGTGTGAATGTGGGTGTGTGTCTGCTATGGGTATAAAAATGCATCAAAGCATTGTGACGATTATGCATTGATCTGAAGGTGCTGATTCAACTGCATTAAAGTTGGAATGAATGCTAGAACTCAGTATAATCAATTATAATGAATTCCGATACAGTATGCACTCTTTTTTATTTTACTATATTAAATTCTTCCAGTATTTTCACAAATAAATGTCAGGGAAACAGCAAAAAAACAAAAAGCACCAACAACAAAGTATAACATCACATTTTTTAGTATTAATTATTTTTCCTTGTTTCTCTTAAACACTTCCAATGTTCAGTCTCAGAAGCCAAAGAAGCTGGCTGCATTTTCTGCTTCTCATGATCCAAGTAATTCCAATTACAAATATACACTGTAAAAATGTTTTTTCAATTTACTTGTTACCATATAAAGTGTGTTGAAGGATGGACAGAAACACCTGTTATCATCAAGAGCTGGATCTTGATTTTATCTCTCAAAGATGAAAGCTTTAAATACTGTTTATCTGATGGTGACAGTTCTGGTGGCCTACCAGGTCTTGCATGGTTGTTAGGATTCCCATTTTCCCTTTTTCCTTGAATACATTTTGAAATTCTGTTATGGAAACTGGAAAGTTTTTTTTTCACTTTTGACTTTCTCCTTCCTCTCCTGCAAGTGGATTATCATGTGTCTAATCTCCTTTATCTCTTATAGTCACTTTAGACACACATGAGAAAGAAATTAGCAAGAGAGCTAAGGCATGTTTGGGTAGTTGATTGTGTGAATGTTAGTGTCTCTTTGAAGGGAACAAAATGTCAGTGACTCTTTTGGGAACAGCTTTTGTTGGAAGGACACAGCTGTAACATGTTGGCTTCACGATTGGAAAGACGGAAGAATTAAAGTCGTAGTAAGGTGCACAAAATATTATAGATTGGACAAAAGTAATAGATTTGATAATATATTTAGTGTTGGAAGCTTTGTGTAACTTTCTGTTAAACATGTTTTCTGCTTTTTCCTGACACATCTGCTGCCGGTCATACTCCGCGCCACCAGAGGTCGCAGTCTCCTGAGTTTTAGCCCAGCTATTCACACCTGTTTGTCGTTAGCAGCTATTTTATAATTTATTTAAGCTCTTCTACTTTTATTTGCGAAGTCTTGTTTAGACTTACCTAGCATTTCTGAGCCTTACTATTACTTACTGTTTTTATGACTTGTTTAGCCTGGCCCTTTCCATGATTTTAGAAATTGTGATTTTGAACTTGTTTGCTGTTATGTTTTGCATTTTGGCCACATTAGGCATTGCTAGGTTGTGTTTAAGGCTGGTGTTTAATAAACGTGTTCCTGACTCCAACCACGTTGACGTCAGGTGACACTGTCTGTGACAGCTTAAATAAACTGATGCATTTATTTATTATCTATATTCTAACACCTGTCTATATATGCATACATTGAATACATAGTTCCTAAAGGGACATTTCTGAATTCAGTGTATTTTAGAAATAATTCTGAATAACCAAATTAAACTCTTAAAATAAATTTGAGATTTGACGCATCAAACAATTTTCAAAAAGTATTTTAAATGAATTGCATTGTGAGGCCAGAGATTTACACCTTTAGTATCTACACACATGGTCCAACATATTACTATCAATATTACCAACATACAATAAGACCATCTAAGCAAAGCTGAAGAGCAAAATCATGAAGGTCTGGGCTGACGAAGCCTAAAATTTGAAGGAGTTTGGAAATGAGAGAAAAGTGAGTGATGATAATTCAATTTTTATGTAAAGAAAGTTGAGATGGCAAAGGTACAGCTGCAAACCTTCACAAGTACAGGCCCTGGCAGTATCATCATGTGTTCAGCAGAGTGGTACTGTCTTCCCCTCATCTTTCAGAAGACACATCCAACCTCCAAAAACTTAATACACCTAAAGTAGATTATGTTCAAGCGCCTCTTCGTCCATTTAAAGACTAGCACTCCCACTTCCATTTCCTAATCTTGTACCCAAAATGTTTTTTTCTTCCTACAGCCACTTGCATTTGTAAAGTTGGCCTTTTTTAGGCTTGCCACGGTAGACTTATGTGTCTGTTGTCCAGATTTGTCTACATGGCCAAGCCAAATGGTAGTTAGTATAGCAAGTTTTGGACAATATAACCCATGTACCCACACACAAAGCCTGACCAATATGCCGGTCGACAGCTGATAATATCAGCAATTATTGATGGTTTTATTGGTGTCTTTAGTTGATAATGAGCTTTTTTTCTGGTTATGGCAAGCTCTCAACCTTCCAATGAAGACAGTCATGCCATTTAGGAGCCTAATAAGAATCATCTCACATTTAATTACAATTATATGCAAAAATTTGGGGGCATAAATTTTGCATATAAAAAAAAATAAAACATAAAATGTGGCTTGTATAGAAGTTATTGAATATTTTTATATATATATATATTTTTTTTCAATTTGTTAAACTCAGCAAATAAATACAAATTGTGCACTAAAGTTTGCAGAAAAATGACATATTTAAGTGTGTTCTCTGTAGAGGACGTGCTAACATGTTTTTACTTACAATAACAATAAAATATAACCAGGGTATTCAAATGTTTGCATACACCTGTATATCACAACAGTACAGGTTACACAATGGTTACAATGGTTAATATAGGGTTTTTCATTGGAGGGGCTAAAGTTATAAACTTAAAACAGAAGAGTATGAAATTAAAATCTATAAGTAT